GGGCATGCACACCCAGGCACCCGGAGTGATTTTAAGCCACCGGTCTGGGACTCGAACCGCGGTCGACTACATGGGAGTCCAGTGACATAGCCATGACGCTAACTGCTGGTCCCCCCTTTTTTTAATTTCTGATAGTAGTCAGATATTTGCACTTTCTCCTTTTGTTTAATTAGTTTATTGATCTTATCAAAAACCACACTTTTGGCTTTGTTGATGTTTTCCATCACGTCGGCCATGTAGTTCATTGACTTCTACTCTTAGCTGTGCGATTTCGTTCCTTCTTTCTTTGACCGTAGGGTGCTGTTCTTTGCCTAGCTTCCTGAGGTAGAGACTTCGATGATTGATTTTCAACTCCCTTTCTTTTCTGATATGAGTATTCAGGGCTACGAATTTCCCTTTAGACACTGCTTAACTCTATACCGCGCTTTCACGATGGTTAATTTCAAAATACTGCCTAATTACCTGTGATCCAAAGAAGAAATCATTTAGAAGCTCTTGTTTGACCTTTAGTCATTCAGGGGTTCTCTAGTTATCTATCTTCTCTTGCATCTAGATTAATTTCCCTATGGTCAGGGCCAGCAGATGGCGTGGTGGTTAGGGCACTGGACTCCCACATAGTCAACCACAGTTTAAAACTCAGACCTGGCAACTTGCTTTCTTGCTTTCCATTTCTCTCTCTCTCTGGCCAAATTAAAAAAAAAAAAAACATAATAATAAATACAATGAAAGGATAAGTAATAAGAATAAGTAATCAATTCTTTTTAAACGTGTTTCCTATGATCAGAGAACATACTCAGTATGATTTCAACCACTTGAAATGATTCATCTGGCTTTCCTGCCTAACACCTATTTTGGAAAATACGTCATATGCACTTGAAGAGAACGTGCATTTTGCAGTTGTTGGGTGCAGTGTTTTCTCTATGGCATTTGGACCAAGCTGAGTAACTGTTCAGATCTCCTGCAGCCTCACTGCGCCCGATCTCTGTTAGCGACTGAAAGAGCCGTGGTAAGGTTACCATCTGTGCAGGCGAATTTCTGATGTCTCCTTGCAGTTCCGCTAGTCAGTGACTACCGCAGAAGTTATTGTGTCTTCCATTGAATCACAGTGAAATGCTCCCCATTGCCTTCACTAATGTCTCTCATCTAAGAATCCACTTTGTTTGACATTAGTAAATGCACACGCTTACTTTTGGTGACGGCTTGTCAGGTGTAACTTTTCCTCTTCTCTTCCTTTCCATCAGTTTCTTCCACTTGAAGTGGGCTTTTGTGTTTTAAACAGAGACTCATTTTGTTTTCCCAGACAATTGAAGAATCAGTTCTACAGTTTAATTTTGTTCACTGGCCCTGCCCTTGACACCGCTTTGCACCGTCACACTCCAGCATACGTACGCCCTGTCTCTGCACTTTGACCACAATGCCTTATGTGTGGCTCCTCTCAATCTTAATTATTATTTTTTGGAGAGGTTTTTGCTATAGGGCGCATGTGCTCGCCAGACAGACAGAGAGAGACACAGAGACAGAAAGCAGGAAATCACCCCCCACGGGAGATGGCCACACTGCAATCCCTTCTCCTCCATTCTCCTCTCGGGATCTTGGGCACGCACGCACATGCGTCCGGCGTGAGTTTAAGCCACCGGATCCGGGACTCGAACCGCAGTCGACTACGTGGGAGTCCAGCAACATAGCTATTACGCTAACTGCTGGTCCCATCCTTTCAATCTTATTTGAGCAGAGTCAAAACTCTGATTCAATCAGTGCACACACACACGAAGATGTGAATAGCTGATAGTCCTTTGTATGTTTAAGGGCATTTATGGCACGACTTGTTTGCTCACTGGGTTTACAACTGGAAGCATCGCAGGCAGCAACAGGGTGTACAGTCTGTGGTGATGGAAGTCAGCGCTTGGTTTAGCCCCGAAGAGCTGGAGAGCTGCTGCCCCCCTAGGCAACTTCCCCTGCCGACCCCTGTCTCCTTCAGTTTTTCACCTGAAAAACAGCGATCCTGACTCTTCACCATCTCAAGAATAAAACAGGGACCTTGGAGACCATGTAGACTTCATTTCCTTCCTTTAAGTTTTAAGCAAATTTCCTTACCAATTCGAAACTGCTCTTCTTGAAATTACCAGCTGAACTTGGCTATTGAAAGTAGTTAGATTATTTAAGAAACTGTGTAATCAATAAAATGTGTGTGCGGGGGGGAAGGAATGGAAGACAACTGTAGACACCAGAAATAGTGTGAGAAGAGGGTGGGAAAAGGCAAAGGGTCAGACAAAGGGGTGAATAAATAGAAATATAAGAAACTAGAAATGGAAAATTATTGATGATAACATACATGATTAAGCCACTATACAGTATATTCTGGATGGGAAACCACATTTTGTATGCTGTGACGATGATTAGGGGATGAGTGTACATTAATTCATTTATAAAAAAGTTTCAGGAGAAAAAAAAGAAAAGTCTTTTCCTCTAATGACTCACAGCAACCACACGATCTCATCGAAATCTCAGGCCAGCTATCTAAGGCTGAGACTGTGGCAGGGTAGTGGCAGAGCTGCGATCGGTGAGCCTTTGCTCTACAGAATTCTCCCTGTGCAGTCAGCTAGGCTGTCCTAGGAATAAAAAAAGAAGACTTGACTACAAATTCTGCAAAGGTTATCTCGCTCTCGCTTGCACACCTCCAGTGCATGGGGAGCTCAATGCCACCCAAGATACTCCATTCCCCAGGGGGCAGCTTTGATAGTTGACTATCATTCATGGTGGTATAGAGTGTTTCAAGTGAGGGGGTGATTTTTAGGGCTTTCACCCTAATGTGTGTTTGCAGGGAGAGGAGTTTGCAGAACTCTTCAGAACATAAACCCCCAGGATGGCAATAATAGTAATGCCAGTCTGGTGGTGTCGCTTCCTTCTCTCTTCCTTCAATGGCTTCCTGGTTCCCTGAGTCCGGACTCCTTGGTGTGCCCTCCGTGAGCTGAGACCAGCCTCAAACTATTTCTCCAATCCACACGCATCTCCCCACCCCGCCCTGGCCTTCCGGAAGTGTTTCCTCTGCCCCAGACACTCTCACTGACCACTCGCACCCCACTGAACCCTTCAACCCTCTGAACCCCCTCCAAAGGCTCTGCACACTGGGATGTGCTTGTTTGTCTCCCCAGGCATCTGGGAAGCGGCAGAGTTGGCATGTCACTCTTCTGCCTGGGCGTCTCACATGGACAATGGCTCAGATGAGCGGCTGCCCCACGCCAGCACATTCAGACATGTCCACTGCACTCATACACACCAGGCCACAAGAGGGTTAAACCATCCTGCCGGCCTTGGATCAGCCTTGACATTGGAGAGGCTAGCGCCCCATGTTTAACCAGATGTTTGGAATCCTGTTCTTAGCTCAGCTGGGAGACCCAGTCCAGCCAGGTCCTCCAAAGAGCCAGCTGCAACCTGGGCCCCTCCCTCTCTGGGTTCTGAGCTGCTGCAGTGCAGGAGTGGGGGTGGATTACAAAACTGGAAGGGGGCCCGCATGTGCAAAAGGTAGAAAGAGCCAGGTCCATGCTCGGTAGCCTTGGCTAAGACCTTCCCGTCCCTGCTTCCTGGTCCCCATCTGTGCACCAATGAGGCTGGTCTGGGTGGTCCCCTAGGTCCCTCCTGATGGGACTGGTCAAGAGTAAAGGGTCCTCAGATTCCAGAACCCCCTAGCTAGCGGTTCCCTGGCGTGGGAGAGACTTTCTTCACTGCAGAGGAGGGGGGTGGGTAAATCTTTAACTAGCCAGCCCAGGGCAGGTCGGAGTCTTTCCGGATGGATGGCTGCCTGGAAAGGGGGGGCTGGAGGGGGAATGCAAGATGTGTGTAGATTGCCTGTTGCAGGGTGGAAAAAGGGAGGGTACTGGGGAGGGGAAGGAATGAGCCTTGGGCGGAGCTAACTCCGTGTAAAGAGCTGGACATGGAGGAACGAGGGTCTCCGGATGGGTAAGTGGAGCTTCCGAGAAGTTCGAGTAGCCCTGAACGCCGCGCCCAGCTGGCCGCAGGGATCTAACTCTCCTTGCTGCCACAGGGACCCCGCGCGGAACCTGGAGCAGGGGCCGGAAGGACCGGAAACGCCCATCCAGGTGGTGCTCAGGTGGGTCTAGGTTGGCTAGGAGGCATCGAGCCAGAGGGGTCTGATGGAGACATCAGAATGGACCATCTGCCCTCCCGTTGGACCCCAGGGTGCGACCTATGAGCGCAGCCGAGCTGCGTCGAGGGGAACAGAGCGTTCTGCATTGCTCAGGGACCCGGACTCTGCAGGTGAGTGCCTGCCATCTCACCCCCTCCTCCCCCTCCGCAAACTAAAACCTACCCCTGGGACGCCAGATCCCTTCTCTCGGCACCAGTACCTTAGGCCCCGCCCTCTCCCAGAATGCCCGCCCCTCCACGGCCCCCTCCCCAGGTGAGCCCCCCGGGCGGGGGCCCCGACGTGGCGTTCCGCTTCGGCGTGGTGCTGGACGCGACGCGCACGCAGGAGGACGTGTTCCAGGCGTGCGGCGTGCGGCGCCTGGGAGAGCTTGCGCTGCGGGGGTGAGTGACGCGCGGGCCTGGATGGGGCTCGCTGGGCATCGTGTCAGCCCGGTCGCCCCCCTCCCGGGCGCCCCCTGGGTCCAGTCACGCCCTGCCGTCTGCAGTTTCTCCTGCACCGTCTTCACCTTTGGTCAGACTGGTTCCGGCAAGACTTACACCCTGACCGGACCCCCTCCCCAGGTGGGCAGAGAACCTGCAGAGCCCATGGGGGCTCAGGCTGGGAGCACTGGGGGCTGGGAGCCCCAGGAAGCCTTGGGGGGAGGGGACTTGGGGCCCCATTTATTTGCCGGGGAGAGCTGGCGCTGCGGGGGTGAGTGACGCGCGGGCCTGGATGAGGCCCGCTGGGCATCCTGTCAGCCCGGTCGCCCCCCTCCCGGGCGCCCCCTGGGTCCAGTCACGCCCTGCCCTGCCGTCTGCAGTTTCTCCTGCACCGTCTTCACCTTTGGTCAGACTGGTTCCGGCAAGACTTACACCCTGACCGGACCCCCTCCCCAGGTGGGCAGAGAACCTGCAGAGCCCATGGGGGCTCAGGCTGGGAGCACTGGGGGCTGGGAGCCCCAGGAAGCCTTGGGGGGAGGGGACTTGGGGCCCCATTTATTTGCAGACGGGGAAACCAAGGACCGTAGAGGAGAAGGGACTTGCCCAGTTTGGAGCGTTTGGGTTCAAATTTGTCCCCTTTTCTCCCTCTGTAAAATGGAAATGTTAGCACCAGGCGTGGTGGCTAAAGGCGCTGGACTCCCACATGGCAGACTGCAATTTGAGTCCTGGACCTGGCAGCTTGCCTTCTCACTCTTTTTCTCTTACATAAATAAAAAAATAATTCTAAAAAAAAAAAAGAATTAAGCGAGATACTCTATGGGCCCTTGGTGGGTGCTCTACCAGGGCAGGGTGTTACTGTGGGGACGGTGCTGATGACCCAGGCGCAGGTGAAGCTGTTTCTGCCCCCCAGGGGGAGGGGGTGCCAGTGCCCCCCAGCCTGGCTGGCATCATGCAGAGGACCTTCGCCTGGCTGTTAGACCGCGTGCAGCGCCTGGGCTCCCAGGTCACCCTTCGCGCCTCCTATCTGGAGATCTACAATGAGCAGGTGAGGGGGTAGACCAGTAGGGATTGGCCACAGACGCTGGAGTCAGAGGCAGGAGGCGGGCAGGGCTGATGTCCTGAGGTCTGAGGGTGGATGGAGCATGGACTCAGACTCAGCTGGCTTCCCAGGTTCGGGACTTACTGAGCCTGGGGTCTTCCCGGCCCCTCCCAGTTCGCTGGAACAAGACCCGGGGCTTCTACGTGGAGCAGCTCCGGGAGGTGGAGTTCGGGAGCCTGGAGGCCTTGATGGAACTGCTGCAGAAGGGTGCGTGGTCCTGCAGGGGAGCTGGGGGACTCAGGGGCGCCTCATAAATGCTTCTCGGAGGGGGAAGGACCAGCAAACCAACAAGTCAAGGTCACGCCCACAGATGGCCCCTTCTATCCCCAAGGTGGGCTGACCCTGCCTTCCAGTGGCCTTCCAGATATCCCTCTTTCCGCTCTGCCCCGGCCTCTGCTTCAGGGAGGCCTCTTCCTTGTTCTCATCCCTCCACCCCTCCAGAGCCATAGCGCTCAGCCTAACCTGTAAGGCCCCTCGGTTCAGCCTCACTCATTCATTCATCAGGGATTTGCTGAGCACCCTCCTCTGGCAGGCCCTGGGGACACCTGACTCGGTTCTGGCCCCTGCGCTGCTACTCCTCTCAGCTGCCCTCTGTCGCCGTTTCCCTCCCTCCCTGCACACAGCCATCGGAGGTGTTTATAAACTGGAAACTGTTCTTTTGCTCAGTTCTCTCCATCCCCCTTTCACCATCCGTGCTGGACTCAGGCCCGGCGTCCCGTCGTTTCCCGGGACCCACACCCACCTCCTGCGCCTGGGCCTCTGCGAGGGCAGGCCTGCTCCAGGGGGCCTGTGCCCCCTTCTCTCAGTGGGCGATGACCTGTCCTGCGGGGCCAGCTCCTGGAGTTTTCCCCCTGCAGGTCTTAGCCGGCGGCGGAGCTCCGCCCACTCCCTGAACCAGGCGTCCAGCCGAAGCCACGCCCTGCTCACGCTCCACATCTGCCGCCCGGTTGTGAGTGCCCGGCCGGGAAGGGGTTGCCCAGAGGGGGGCCTGCCTCTGGGTGTTTAAATCAGTTTGGGTGTGCGCGGAGGCCGTGGAAACCTTTGGCTTTGGGACCCTGTGACTTTGTTCCTATCCCAAGTCCCCAGCCAGCCTGGTCCCCCAGTCCCCGCAGCTGCCTCCTGCAGACGCTGGGGAGCCCCCTGCTGGTGGGAAGCTGTGCTTTGTAGACCTGGCTGGCAGCGAGAAGGTGACAGCCACGGGATCCCGCGGGGAGCTGATGCTTGAGGCCAACAGCATCAACCGCAGCCTGCTGGCCCTGGGTGAGACCTGAGGCCTTGCAGGGGGGATTTCCTGAGTCCCTCCTCTGCACCTGATCCCTGGCTGGTCCATGGTGGGGGATACACAGTTCATAGAGGGCTCAAGAGCTGTGATCCAGGAGCCGGAGGCTGCGTGTGGGTTCCCTTCTAATTGGGGAGGTAGAAACCCTCAACCTCAGAGTTGTTCAGCCTGTCCATGTGCAGGAAGTCAGAGGCCCAGTGGGGAAAGGGAACTGGCCTGTCTCCCCACCCCACCCCAGGTTATTGGCCTTGAGATCTGAGCCTGGGTATTCCTCTGCAGACGAAAGTCATTCTCATTCAGTCTGTTTACTAGACCCTCATCAAATTGCCTTTGCTGGGGATTGGGGGTGGACAGGGCCGACTTTGTCCGGAAGAGCCCCAGCCCGTTGGTGGAGGCCAGTTCAAATGAGTAATGAGATCACGCGAGACTCTACCCAAGTCCGCAGGTGGGGTGGAGATCCCACCTCTGCTGCATCCCAGCACGCAGCCTTGGGCAAGTGGTATGGCCTCCCCTGACCTCACTCTCCTACCCCAGGTCACTGCATCTCCCTGCTGCTGGACCCTCAGCGGAAGCAAAGTCACATCCCTTTCCGAGACAGCAAGCTCACCAAGCTGTTGGCAGACTCCCTGGGGGGCCGTGGGGTCACCCTCATGGTACCCTAGGGGGCTGGCAGGGAGGGCTGGGTCCTAGGGAAGGAGCCCACTCAGCGGGAGTCCTCCCCAGGTGGCCTGCGTGTCCCCCTCAGCCCAGTGCCTTCCCGAGACACTCAGCACCCTGCGCTATGCAAGCCGGGCTCAGCGGGTCACCACCCGGCCACAGGCCCCCAAGGTGAACAGTGGGAGACACAGGCTGGGGTGGGGAGCTGGCATGGGAGACAATGCTGCAGAGTGGGGGTCCCACCCAGGCTGGGGGCCAGGCAGTGTCAGGAACTGGGTCAGAGCTGGGATTAGGGTTGGATTCCTGGAAATGGCATTGTGGTGAGTGTGGTCAGGTCCCAGCCAGGTCAGGGTCGGGATTACAACAGATCTAGTGTTTTGTTTTTGTTTGTTTGTTTGTTTTAAATTTTTAAACATTTTACTGTAGGGTACATGCACCCACCTGAGAAAGGCAGAGAGAGAGTGAGAAAGCAGCCCCCACTTTCCCCAGGGAAAGTGTAGTCCTTCCTCCTCCGCTCTTCTCCCTGGATTTTGGGAATGCACGCAAACACCTGCTGTGGTTTCAAGCTGCCAGGTCTGGGATTTGAACTGTATAGTTGGCTGTGTGGGATCCAGCCACTTTAACCACCATGCCACTGCTGGCCCCTCTTGGGTTGGACTCTGATTTGGGATATGAGGAGGCCCTTGCCAGGATCGCAGTTAGTACTGTGGTTAAGTCTGAGTTGATCTGCGGTCTGATATGGGTCTTGTTTGAGCTCAGAATCTGAGCCAAGGTCTGGACGGAACTGAGTTTGGGGTTGAACTTGGAGCCAAGTCCAGCCTTGAGAGCAGCCCCCAGAGTGATGGCCTTTCCAGGAGGATGCAGCCTGTGCCGGGGTTTAAGACTGACAAATGAAGCAGAGCTCAGATGTACTCAGAGCTGACAAGTGTACTTCGAGCTCACTCACTGCCCACACCCGGAAGCCCTTGTGCAGTGCACAATGTATGCAACCGTAAAAGGCAGCTCTGGGCCCCTTCCTCGTAGTCCCCTGTGGCAAAGCAGCCTCAGCGTTTGGAGACCGAGGTGCTGCAGCTCCAGGAGGAGAACCGTCGCCTTCGGTTCCAGCTGGACCAAATGGATCCCAAGGGTATGAGCTATGAGCTCCCTGTGATGGGAAGGGAGGAAGTGGGTGGGTTTAGGGCTCCTGTGGATGCTCCTTCTACTTCCCTGCAGCTTCCAGTTCAGGGCCCAGCGGGGCCCGAGTGGCCTGGGCCCAGCGGAACCTCTATGGGATGCTACAGGAGTTCATGCTGGAAAATGAAAGGCTCAGGTGGGGCCCAGCCCACAGGCAGGGGACTCTGTTCCCTACTCCTCAGCGCTAGGTTGTATCTGTCTCCCCTCCCCAGCCCCTGACTCCCCACTATCAGCTTCCTGGGCTTGCTCACCCCTAGAAAAGAAAAGAGCCAGCTGCAGAGAAGCCGAGACCTGGCCCGGAATGAGCAGCGCATCCTGGCTCAGCAGGTGCATGAGCTGGAGAGGTGAGTGTCACCGCCCGGTCACCAGCCTTGGACAGAGAGCTGCCAAGAAAGGGGTGGCCTAGTGAACCGAGGAGAGTCTGACCTCTGCATCCAGACCCCTGGGTTCACTCTCTCCCTCCTAGCTGTGCCACCTTGGGCACGTCACTTACCCTCTCACTGCCTGGGTTTCCTCATCTGCGAAGTGGGAATCCTAGCTGGTCCTTCTCGTGGGGCTGTCTTGGGCTGGCAGGAATGTGTTAGCAGGTAAAGCGCTGAGAACGGGGTCTGGCATGTAGCTAAGTGCTCCGGGAGGCCTTGTTGGAAAGGGGGACTTGGAGGCCTGTGGGTGCAACAGTGAGGGCTGCAGGCACACAGCCCACTGTCCTTCCCAGGCGCCTCCTCTCCATCTGTCACCTTCGCCACTCGGGCCCTGGCCCAGCCCCACCGTGCGCCTGCTGGATGGGACCAGCTCACCCCTGCTATGTGAGTTCCACTGCCAACTTGGGGGGTGAGAAGCAGGGACATCGCTGAACCACGGGCTCATCTCCTTGCAGGCACTACCACCCCTCTGCTCCTGCCCCTGCTGCCACCTCTGCCCTCTGGCCCACTGGGCCTGCCCACGGAGGGAGCACCATCTGCAGCAGGTAGGCAGGCAAAGGTGGGGGACTGGAGGCCTTGCCTGGGGACCAGCAGTGCAGGAGGCCGGGCCCGGGCAGTCCTGGCAGGAGTAGCTGGTTGGCTCAGGGATCCCTCTGCCCCAGGCTTGGAAGAAGCCTGGATTCCTTACCTCCTCTGCTTCCCCTTCCTGCTTTTTTTTTTTCTTTTTTTTTTTTAATTTGGTAAAGGACACATGCACCAGAGAGAGAGAGAGAGCACGAGAAAGCTCCATGCCGCAGGCCCTTCTCCATTTTTCCCTCCTTTTGGGATTTTGGGACCAGGATGTTTCTCAAGCCACTGGGTCTGGGAGTCAAACTGCACATTCGGCCACATGGCAGCCAGCCACTTCACCTGTGGGCCCCCTGCCTCCTTTTAGGAACTCAGTCTGTCCTCACCTGTTCCTTCTTCTCTTACACACTTCCCCATGTGTACAGCTTCTCACCTGGGCACACCCTCCTTCCTGAGCTCCACTGTGCCTGCCTCTGTTCTGGGCACTGGTCAGACATGGTGCTGCCTGCTCTTGGTCCCAGCAAGGATATGACAGGAGCCATCTCTGGTCACAGAAGAAAGCCACTGGGACCTGACCCCACCCCTTCATGCTGACCTGTCTTTCTTGGCACTCTCTGGGGTGGGCACAGCACGGCGTGGTGGGATACAGAGAAAGGCTGAGGTCACCCAGTGTGGACTGGTCTTCTGTGCAGGTGCCGAGCCCCGAGCCCCCCGGCGGCCTGCCCCTGTCTGCCCGACCCCCACCCTGCGTACCCCCATGTGGCTCTGGCTCTGGCTCTGGCTCTGCCAAGTGCCCAAGAGAGAGGTGGGCCAGCGCTGGGGCACTGGGGTGGGGGAAGGAGGCCGGGAAGCCTCAAGACTCACCTCCCACCACTCCACTCACCCTGGCCCAGGAGTCACCGTGACTCGTGGATGCAGACCAGGGCCCTGGCAGAGATGCTGACGGAGGAGGAGGTGGTACCCTCTGCACCGCCCCTGCCTGTGGGGCCCCCGGACACGTCGCCTGTGCTGAGAGGTGAAGAAGGGAGTGAGGAGGGTTCCCTAGTGTTCCCTGGTCTCGGGCCTGAGTCCATGCTTTCCAGGCCTCAGTCTCCCCATCTCTGAAAGGGGGTGGTGGTGAGAGGTGATTTCTAAGATCTCTCTCATTCCCGGACTTGCAGTTCTCTTCCTGGGGCCCCCAGATGTATGTGGGAGCCCAGGTCTTTGGGGTGTGGGGGGTTGAGGGCACCACCTGAAACTTTTTCAGAGGCTGTTGGGACCTGGGTGAACCTGAGCAGCAGGGGGCCCAAAAGAGGGCAGGCCTGAGTCTCACTGCTCCTCAGGTGGGGCTGGGGTTCCGAACCTGGCCCGGAGGCTAGAGGCCCTCAGAGACCAGACTGGCGGCTCCTTACTCCATGGCCAGAGCCAACCTCCCCCAGCGAGGGTGCACAGAGCCCAGGCCACGTCCTCCCTCCCCACTGAAGGCCAAGTGGACACCCAGGAGCCTGCCGTGTGACCTTGGCCTGGACTCTGTGCTCTTGGGCCTCAGGCTCCATGTCTGTCGAATGGGAAGGCCAGTTGCTGCTCCACCTTGTTGCTGGGCTGGGCAGACCAACTCCAGGGCTGGGGTGGGGGCTGCTGGGGGAGAAAGGAAGGGTGTTGCCCTAGCCTTTGAGAAATGGCTGGATTCCGGAGAAACCAGGCAGCCGGAGACAACATGTATGAATAAAGAGAGTTGTCGGCTCCGAGCCTCTGCGTTGGTCACTTCCCATGGGGGCTCTGAGGGGGCAGATCTTGACCCAGGTGGGTGTCCCTTCTGATCTGGAATATCCCAACCTCCCTTCTCTCATATACTGAGCAGGATTTAATTGAGCAAGTACTACAGCCACTGGGTAGGCTTGGGGAAATGGAATGGTGAGGGAAACCACCTCGGCCCTAGCTAGGGCAGGGGCTGGTCCAGGGTGGGCTTGCATCACTTCTTTGATGAGGGAAGTCCAGGGGACTTGTGGAGGCACAGAGGAAGGCCACTCCCTGGAAATGGTGGAAGAGCTCAGGGAAGGTTCCCTGGAGAAGCCACGACGGAGGCTTGGAAGGTGGACGGCACTCAGAGCAGGGAAGGCAGGGGCTGGGGAGGCAAAGGCCCAAAGACCCCTGCGGTTCCCATGGTCGTCCGGTCCCTGAAGTGCAGGGCTGTGCAGGCCGCCTCCACAGTCTGTGTGTGTGCCAAGGGCAAATGGTAGCCATGGAAGAGTCCTGAGGAGTCCCCAGCTTAGGGCTGAATTTAGGTCATGTTGGCCACTGTGGGCAGGGTGAGCTGGAGGCAGGCGACCTGTGATGAGGCCAGCACAGAGCAGAGATGAGACACCTCAGCCAGCAGTCCCCCTTGGGTCGGGTCTGAGGTTGGCCATCCCCTGAGTCCTGGGCCCTGGGCTAGGCAAGGCCCCAGAGGTGCCAGCATTAGCCACAACCTTGGCCTTCAAGCTGGGAGGCCAGAGGACTGGGCAGGGTCCAGTGGGAGAGCCTGAGGCTGCAGAAGGGAGGGCACGGCCACCTCTGGCTCAGTGGTCAGACTGACTGCTGTTTCCCCCAGGCCCGAGCTGGGCCAGCCACAACCTCTGTTGTCCTCCATACTCACCGGTGCAGGACCAAGCAAGGAAGGCCTCCACGGACTCCATGCTCTGTCCCAGCATCCTGGAAAGGAGCCCTGGGAGTGCCTCCTCTTCATGCTTCCCTTCCCCCGAGGCAGTGAGGACCCAAAGGTAAACCAAGATGTAATAAAACTGTACTTGAGCGTGCTGTGTGACGAGGGGCAGGCTGCTGGGCCTCTCTGGACCTCCCTCACTACCGGGGCCCTGTCTCCCGAGTCAGAGGATGTGTGACTGGGCATTAGGATGTCCAACGGCAGCGACTTCTGGAGGGTCAGCATTCCTCGGGCAGTGCCCAGGCATGTGGGGTGACAGGCAGATACCACGGGCAGCTAGTGCGGGTCAAGCACGCTGTGGTTAAGCCTGCGGACTGTGCCACTGGTGTTGAAACCAAAAGCCATCCTGGGAAAGTGCCTGGAGTGCTCCGAGCAAGTCACCGTGTCCAGAATAGGCACCGTTACAGCCCATATAGAACAAAAGTGTCGTGGGGATTAAGTTCCCTGGGCGGTGGAGAGAGGGGAGCACGGGGCTTTCCCTGCTGCAGATGGTGTAGTCAACACTTTGATGGGATCGACAATCCAGATTAAAAAAAATAATAACAAAAAAAACGACAACTATTTATTGAGAACTTTCTTTGGGCTAGCATTGAATAAAGCATATGAATCCTTAGCTCTCACAGGACACATCTGATAGACAAGGACAGGGCGAAACAGGTGCCAACATCTTGTGGAGGTAACATTTGTGCAGAGACCTGGAGAGGGGGAGTCCTGACTTCCTAGAATTGGCAATCTTGGTGCCACGTCAGCTTGGGTGGCTCTGCAGGTTCGTGCCTGGGCCCAGCTCTGCTCCCCAGAACCCTTATCTTGCTGCAGTGTGGCCCTGCTTGCTGGGAGGTCTCTAGCCTCAGGCAGGGGAGGCCCTGCACTGTGAGAGAGCAGCCTGAGGAGGATGGACGGGGACCACCCAGGGGGACCCTGGCCATTGCTGGTTCATTCGTGTTTGGAC